TGTCGGGAGGCAGCGAGCTCCTGGACTGTCTGGGCAATCAGGATAGTGGGCGCATGTCGGATAATGACGTTCTCATCGATCTGTCTCCTAAGCCCGGTTTTTGTCTCTCCAAGGCGAACCACCATAGTATGTCCCTGAATTAACAAATGATGAAGACGGACTTCAAAAATTTCTCCTGTCCGGAGCAAACCCCAAAAACCCAGGCAAAGGCAAAGAGCCAGCCTCAGGTTTTCTACTGCAATGCATCGTCCCACCAGACCTTCCACAACTTGTATTGGGAAGGGAGGTGCCTGTTTGGGCCTTTCGACCTTGCGCCACAGTCCATACAGCTTCCAAGCTCCCCTTATCTTCCCTCTACTCCATGGGAGGAAATGGTGCAACCCCGACAAAGTGTCTGCGACGCTGGTGATGCTGCTACCTGCCTGATATTCCGCATCAATCCAATCTACTAAAAACTCATCAAGGTCACGGGTGGTTTTCTCCAGAAGAGGGAGCACTGCTGCTACCGCAACAAAATACCTAATCCTGGTTTTCACAGTGATGGCTTTATCATGGAGCGACAGCCCTTTACGCTTACGCCTACGCAGGCGGCGCAAGGTCTCAGGATCTGCTCGCTTCATCGGTAGGGTTGTCAGCACTGTCAACGTGTGCCAGATTCAGCAGCCCATGTCCGGCCAACAGCAAGGCGGCGATCTTCCTACAAATGAACTTGAGCTTATGGCTTCCCGTCCTGCCTTTGCTAAGAATCGAAATAGCCACGTAACTATCACTCAAATGAAAAAGACGCCGATTCGTGAACTTCCTCTGCATGGTCTTCCAGAGAAGGGACAAGTAAATGGCCCTGATTTCCAAAGCATTTATGTGTTCTGCTTCGTTCCACCGGACCTTGAACACTGGCTGCCAGGCCCACCAAACGCTGTCCACACTCTGTCGCGGGAACGTTTTGGGGTTGAGCACCTGACCCGTAGAAACACGTATGTCAGACCCGGTGTGTCGTGTTTTGCTTCCCAAGATCCTATTCAGCTCAGTAGCTCCTGCATGGGTCCATGTCCCTGGAAAGGCTAGACCTCTCTGCAACGGACAGGCCAGCGGGAGTCTCAGAGAGCTCCCTGGAGGGAGCCCCATCCGGGAGAAAAGGACCTGAGGGATAAACAAATTAGTATACTTGTAAACACTTGCCGCTGCAAAAAGTACAAACGACCAAATGGAGAAGCTATCGCCCACTAAACTGCATCTCTCGTCTTCGTACTTTTGTTTGTTGCTCTTTGCCTCCGAAGCTGACATCGCCATGCACGTGTGGCCAAAGCCGTAACCCATCAAGATCTCACGCTCTGAGGCATCCAGCACCCGGGTCTTGTCAGTGGCAGGGCTGTATACCAAGTATTCGGAACGATACTGATACGGGGGGTACCTAAAGCCATGATCCTCCCACCTGGCTCGTGTCCAGGAGTCTGCCCGGGACAACCCAGCGGGCCTGGGGGGCGGCCTGGCTCGTTGAATGGCTTTCATAAATGTTGGATAAACTGCTAACTTGTCAACCTGTTCCCATTCCGGTCTGAGCCATTGGTCAGCACTTGGCCAATCACCTTCCACCTGCACCTCAACGTAGCCAGGCCTTCGCACCAGGGCAAGCCCTCGACATGGTGGGAACTGAATCGATGTCCAACAGAACCGAGGCCTCGAGTTTGGCACCTGACAACTTGGACAAACTTTGTACGGGATAACCCCTAGTAAAGTGCTCAGCTGGTCTCTCACTTCAACATCCATGCTTGCTACATTTTCCACAAAAAAATCCGTAGGAGTGTCAGGGAAAAGCACGGCTAGCTCGTCAAACACGCGAATTGCCTCGTGTATCAAGCTGCTGGAAGCGCCTTGAAGGTTCTGGCGGTGAGCCCGCACACTGCTCACGTCCACGCAGGGAAACCCTGCCCATAGATGAAGTTCTCCAAAATCACCAAAGTGTTCCATCTCTTCTCTGAGACAGTCACCCGTCAAGGTGCGCACATCTTCCCAAAATCTGGTATGAGGCCAGCGCCTTGCTGTCACGCGATTGGCTGGTTTGTGAATATCACAGGCTAGCACACCTGCTACCCGCACACCTGCCACGTCATAACAGCGCTGAGCACCTCCTATCCCATTGAACAGCGATACAATCACCACAGGAACCTCTTGCGCCTGTCGCTCCCGCGCCTGAGACCAGACAAAGCCTTTACCTTCCGGAGTGAGACAATCACTGAAGGCGACCGCTCCTCCTTTCATGCTGGCATCACTGCAGGTCACCATCGGGTCGATCTTGCTGCCCAACCAAGTGTGAAATAACGGGCTGCCACAGATACCTGTCAGCATCTCCTTCCTAACCTTATCTTGCATCAGGCGGCCGAAGCCCTTTCCTGACACCCATTCCCAAACATGCGAGAAATGAGCCATGCCCGGTCGCCTAAACTGCAGAATGAAGCACAGCCTTCCCATGACAATTTGCACTTTCTTCTTGCTCAACTTAGGTTGCCCGCATAGCCAAATAACGCTCTTGAGGACCTTGATGAGGCGCTCAGGTGAGGCTCCAATCCACTGCCCTTTACCTCCGAGAAAGGCTCCTAATTCAACACCTGAGGAAGCCGCTACTACTGACTTATCTTCGGACACCACAACACCAGCGTCCATCCACAGCTTTTCTGCCGCCTTCTGCAGTGCAATCAAATCGTTGGGCTCTTCATTTCGCACCTTTGCGCCTGCAGCGAAATTATCAAGGTACACATGCCACCAAGGTCGCCCCTGCTTGTTTCCCAATTCTGAGCTCTCCAACACCCACGGCGGCAGAGGATGAGACTTGGAGATCTGAGCACAGGGATCAAAGCCCCCCTTTAGGAGAATCGTTTCAGCCAGGTCTTGCATGACCCCAACGGCCGAGCACCATCCCATGGGGAGCACCCTACAGGCCAGGTACACTGAAGAGGACCGATGGCCATCTACCTCCAGTCCCAATTCCTCACGCCTGAAACACAGGTTGAAACACAACATCCTGCACCAGCAAGGGGGCAACGCAAACAGGTAGAACGCGCATTGCATGTCACTCTGCGCAATCCGAAGAGTTTCCCCTTCGTCCACGACCACATTTAACCACTGAGACCAGTGCCTAGTGGCTGATGTGGGCCAGGAGTTGCCCAAGCTGCAAGGAAAGGTGCATATTGGCGAAGGTGAGCGCAAAAGCATTGCTGTTGAACTTGTCAGGCGAGGTATTTGCACCTGGGTAGATGAGGACCAGGTGTTCAGGTTTAGAGGCGAAAAGGTCCTGAGTGGACTGTTTGGCGTGCCTAAGCCCAAAAGGCTTCCCTCTGGTGAAACTATCTTGCGTCTTATTATGAATTTGGTGCCTGCCAACGCCGTGTTGAAGACGATTCAGGGAAAGGTGGATAAGCTCCCCTGGGAGCACCCTAGCTAAAGTCAGCGGTTCGGCCTTGCAAATTTCTTCACCTGTATACGTCACTGTCCTATGTTCAAAATCGTCCACAATGTCAGCCTCTGTCCATGCCACAGTCGTGTCATCGTCCATCAATCGTTTGACCGACATCTCAACAGCACGCAACAAATCCCTCTGCGGGGCTGTAGGATTTCCTTGCCCAAACATAAACCCTTCATTTGCCAGTTGATTGCAAAACAGGACTCCTAAGGAGGCCCAGCACGCAACTGCATTGGTTTTGACAAATTCCAAATCATGCAAAACGGACGAAACCGGTTTCTTTCCAAACCGAGAAAAATCCACAAACCAAACTTGAGGGAGGGGAAACAGTTTGTTTTTGGAGCGAGAAGCTCGTGGTAGCTGGCTCTTCTTTTTCTGCGCCATCTCGGCGGAGAGTTGGTCAAGGAAACTTCCATCCAAGGTTTCCCCTCGCTCACAAATGGAGAAATATAGTCCCACTCCCAGCGCGGAAAAGGATCCAGCTAGGTCCAGCAGGACTTGCCACCACTTCAAACCGGGCGGCTCCACTGCTCCTCCCTTCACTTCTCGGCTTCGCCCTCTTTTTCTTTCTTTCCTTTTCCCTTGTTCTTGTCCTTTTTCCACCACCCCTGGTCCTGGTTCTTTCGCCATCCTCCACGGCCTGTCCAGGGGTCTGCCTTCTCCTTCTCCTTTCCCTTCTTTCCATCTTTTCCTCCTTTTCTCTTTTTCCACCAGGGCTCGGCGTCCTGCCAGCCCCCATCTCCTTTGCTGCCCTTGTCCTTTCTTACGCGCCCCCTTGCCTCGTCTGGTTGGGTGACGCGCTCCATCATCTTCGAGAACTTCCGGGCTGCCAGGGTGATGGCTGGCCCTGCTGCGGATGTCTGGTCCGGGGAATAAAGCTCCAGATGCCTGGCAGCCGACCATTGCTGATCGAGGCTCGCCTGTTCGATCGCCAGCCACCGAGCCGCCAAGGCGTCTCCCAATTTGGCCAGGCGACCCACGCGAAGCAGGTCGATGACGTTCGCCAGCAAGTAGGTCTCTCGCCCGTCTCGGGATTGCTGAGAGAATGCCCCTGATTGAATCAGGGTGTGCCAGTATGTCACAACCTTTGTTCCTGTCAGGACAGGGTCTGAGCTTTCCCCCGCACCGCTGAGCTCGTTGAGCCGAGCCTCTATCCTCTCGATGAGAAGACTCAGCACGGAGCCCTCCATCTTCTCGCTGCGTCTCTTCAGGGGTGGAAGGAGGTCCTCTTTGTCTGTCTCGCTGCTGTCGACGTCCTCGCCACTGGAGTAGCTGTCCCCCTCGTCTGACGAGGGACTTGACCCACTTGGGTCGTCTCCTTCTCTCTTTCGCTTCTTCTTTTTCTTTTTCTTTTTCTTTCCTCCTCCAAATATCGTCTGCAGTGCCTCCACTGCCTTTTGCTTCTTCTTTTTCTTCTTTTTCTTCCCATCTTTCGACTTGGAGGTCCTGGCTGCTTGCAGTGCCAGAGATGAGGCCACATTCGACTTCTTGCTTATCATCCTCAAGGGCTTCAAAATATCTTCTCTTGGCTCCTCCCCCGGGCCTTCTCCACTGGTCAGGGCAGCACGGCGAGGGCCAGCCGCTCCCTTCGGGGGTCCCAACTTCGTAGATGTGCCCAAACCTTCCTGAACAGGGTCGACATCTCCATCCCCCTCTACACCCAAGTGGTCTCCACCTGTCAGAGCTCCTTGTCCAAGTCCCAAGCTTTGTTGACGCTTCCTGACCTGGTCCAACCTGGCCCTGAGCGTCCCGGCAGCCGAGCCAGCGGGACCAGGTTGTTTCGCCTTTGCCGACTTCCTGGTGTCCTTGGGGCGGTCTCGACGATCTCCCTGACCTTTTCCTCGTAGTTGAGCCTCCTTGGGTTCCCCGCTCGGCTTCTTCCTCAAAGCAGAGGGTCTGCCAGCGGCACCTTCCAAGGGCTCTCTCACCTCGTCTAGCTCTTCTCCAGCCTCGAACTGTTTCACAATGCGCTTCCCTGCGGGCGACAGGCGGTGCGTCGGAAATGTGAGTCCATCCCACAGCTCCAACCGATGAACATGGAAAACACCGCCCTCTTCCTCGCAAAAACCTGCACTTGCGCACACGTGAAGGTGTCCTTCCTTCCGGTTGAAAAAGGAAGAAAGGATCGCCAGTGCTTCCGGATGTGAGCTTCCTACCGACTTTACCCTGACCAGGGCACTTCCATCGGCACCCAACTCTATACCTGTGACCAGGAAGATACCTTCCACCCCGTCTGCTCCCAACAGCTCGCCCGGAACTGCTGTAGTTATAATGTCTCCCAACTTTATCTCCATAGTGGACCATCTGGCGGGCTCGTTCACATCGAACAGCCCATAGGCGCCTCCAGCACCTACCAGCTCCACCTCCGCCTCGCCTTCCGTCATTTCTTAGGCTGAGGGGGGGTGCCGGCAATCGCCGACGACCTAGGTGCGTGTGGATCAAAGTCAAAGTGACTCTCGTCCAACTTCCGGTGAATCTTGAGGTAAGGGTCACGCTCGGCCCTGTAAAGACGCTTGTGTTTGCGCCCCGCTCTGTGTTTTGGATTCCTGTGCTTGCGCTTCCTGTAGGACTTGTCGTCCTTCCGCTCTGGCCTTGATGGCTGACTGGGTCGATGTCGATGTCGACGACGCCGTCCAGACTCTTCAGGCACGGTGCTCCCACCAGCCTGTTCTTCCTCTCCGTAATCTGCCTTCTCCTCAGTCTTGATCCTCTCTGCCACTCCTTTAGGGGGAGCTGGAGGTTTCGCCTTTCCCGAAGTACCTGGGGCCACAGTCGCAGGTGGCAGCAAGGGGTCAACCAGGATGGTCTTGTCCGAGGCCGCCTCCGATTCCTCCTCTTCCTCGTCGGACTCAGATGAGTCCTGCTCCTTCTCCTCGTCCTTCTCGAGAGGCTGCGGGGCGGCACCCTTCTTCTCCTCAACAGGTTTTGGTGACCTCCTCAAGGGAGATCTCTCCCGGTGTGGCATGGGGTTTCCCCCAGCCGGAGCAGCCACCGGAGGGACCCGCGCGGGGAAGCGGCCCCCAGCGGTCCCCCCAGTGGGGGCGTGCGGTGCAGCCGCGGTCACGCGTGTGACTCGCAGGGCCCGGACCTGGCGCACGGCCGAGACCACCAGGTCTGTCGCCACCGCCCGCAGGCCTGGGTGGCACCACGAGAACGAAAGTTCGTTCCCGATGGCCTCCCAGGCGCTGCAGGCGAGGCACCAGGTGTCACCGGAGGACGGCGACACCCGGCGGCACCGCGCGCACACGGCCATAGACCGTGAACGATCCTTTTTGAGCCCGTGGCCAGTCGGTGTTCATGCAATACATCTCATGTTCCAAAGATGTCATATATATACTCCACCACTTACTCCACCGATGTTGAGGGCGGGTGAAACAATCTCATCGAAGGATCCAACTGGCGTGGTCGGGCCAATGACCGTGCCATGACCCGCCCGGCCACCAGCAACTCAGTCGGTGAAGTTGTTCAATGAGGGAGGGCCACCAGGGTCGCTGAAGTACCAAGCGTTCACAGAAGAACCATCAACACCGAAAAGGTTGTAGCATTCGCATACTACCTGTGTTTGACTCACGTACTAACAAAAGTGAGTCAGGAACCACCGATCCACCTGCCGCAGCAGGTCTCTGACTCCTCTTGTCACAGCTCAGGATCAAAGGCTCCAGGGACACGAGCTCCAGCAGCAGCAAACTGACGTCGCCTCGTCGCTCGAATTTGTTGGTTTCACTGGCCTCCAGGAGGTCCATAAGACACACACGCACACAAACTGGGAGGTATGCCAGGACCCCGGCGGTTGGTGAATGGACACCCCGGGCTGGTACAAGACACCGAGACACCCCTTACGTAGGGGGCCCTGGTGGTTGCTGGTGTATATCTCTTGTGTATGTTGATTTTTCAATTTTATGAAAGAGGTGGACAATGGCATACGTGTTAACGCTTTCAATGTATGCCGATTCCGATACTTACATCAAAGAGCTCTACCTACTTCCAACACATGGCTGATTGCTCACCCCTGACGTGTTTTCACTGCAAATATCGCAGTCGGAAAAGGGTCTCTTTGGATGTCTCTTGGATCTATGCTGGTTGTCATCAAGCTTGACCTTGCCAGTTTAGAATATAGAACTGGAATTGGATCGTTGTTCTACTTCTTCATGCTGAGATCATCTGAAGCTGGAGATTGAACAAAGTTAAGCTGAAAGCTTGAGGTTTGCTTTACCGCTTGAAATAATGTTTTTGGAAACTGCAATAATTTCCAACTTGGGAAAGCCCTTTTGCTGGCATCTGTGGGGATGCTGCAGCGCCCGTTCCGAGCGAATGATCAAAGGCAAGTATATCCGTCATCAAACGTACATATATACATGTATACATACGTATATTTCTTGCGGTAGCAAGCAACACAAATGGTGACTCAGGAATCTGTTCCTGACTGATTCGATAACCCCCCAAGCACTTGACTTCTTTGTAAAGTCCAACGATCACTTGACTTCTTTTGACAATCGAGTCACTTCCCTCTACCGTCGATGCCCCCGTCCGGTGCCGCCGACGATGATGCGTCGATGATGCGTCGGGCACGACGAGGAGCCCGCTTGCCTGGCTGATAGAAGCGCTTCCGCTCGCCCCGCATCCAGGTGCCACGCTTGGTGGGCTGGAGCACCGAGATGTAGAGCTGACTGTGCTTCTCCAGGTGGAGAAGGTAGACGTTTCGGCAAAGCCTGACACACGGTGGTGGTCTGTGACCCAAACCCAAAAAGTATTGGGGAGGTAAACAGGATGTTTGCTTTTTTGGATGAGTTCAGGGCCGGAAATGAGAGATAAACGAGATCTGACAAAACAAATGTAAAGCATTGTTCTAGGGTGGGACCCCAGCCTAGAGAAAGAAGATCGCTGACGATCAGCAGTGGTACATCTGCATACCCAAGAAACCGATGTGCTGACAAGTATCAACAACATATCATCACGAAAACATGGTCTACTGCAGTCTACTGCAAAGCAACACACCAAAGAACCCCTATAGCGGTCCTTGACGGGCCCCAGAATACGGCATGGTGAGCTGCGGCACCATCCGCAGCACATCCCGTGCGCATCTGACCTGCCTCGTCTCATCCGACTTGGCGCAAAAGAAATTCTCAAAGCTGGCCGAGTGCCATGCTTCGTGTGCGAAGCACACATCCACCACTTCAAAGGCCATCCTAAGGCTGGAACACAGCGATGGAAACAGACATGACCATCTCGTTACGGCGCCGGGAAAAGAATTCGAACATCACTCAATACCTGTTGCAAGTTCCTTTTTTGGGTGTGATCTGTTTCATTTCTGAGAGAGGCTTCGGCTTCGCGGATGGACCATGGGCACTCTCTTCAGGTCCATGGACCATGAGTCCTTTAAGTTTTGGAGTCGCTCGATTTGATGTGTTACACATTGACTCACTAACAAAGTGGATGGCATCATCCCTTGGAATGTTCCTTTACACACAGGAGGGTTTCCACTTCCATATTAGTGAGTCTCTGATAAAACCCGCTGCAGGTCAATCCATGATGAACAATAGTGCTGAAATCCCTGCCACTGCAACCATTGCAGTGGCCTCTTTTGCCCCAGCGACAAAAAGTGCATGAAATCAATCCAAAAGGTCCCATCGTTGACCTCGGCCGACGGAGGACGCCGCTGAAAACCGGTGGCGGAAAACAGGTGGTATGACGGTATGATGTTGTAAGTATTATTGGAATCCATCTCAAATGGACAAATGGAGGTTAGTTTTTAGGTCTAGGTTGAGACCAATGGTGCTATCTGTACTTTTGAGACTTGGGTGCGATGCCATGCAAGCGCTCAAAACCACGCAACATGATTAAGCGTGCCAAAGATCACGTCTTGGGCTCAACTGTCCAATCTACCGTTTTTCAAGGAGTTCAGTCTTGTGGATGGGCCGATCCACCCTAGGGTCAGCTCAAGGCATGCGACTGCCACTTAAAACGCGCCCACAAAAGCTGGTAACTGCCAGGCCCAGGTTTCTTTTGAAACCCCAACCACCAACCCGAAACGTCTCCCTGCCATACTATACCTGGCGTGTAGTTTGTCCTTCGCCAACTCAAAAGGTGCCTTCTAGGCCCGGCCGACCCCACCACGATCTTCAGGCCGAGCCCGACCTTGCTTCGCCCCAAGATCTTCTCCAAGGAATCGGTCCATTGCTCCGATAAGTCGGACCATTCGCGATTCCACTCGCCCTGGCCTCCCGCGAGCGGAGGGGGGCTGGCGAGCCGGACGGGGCCAGCCCCGCCCGGATCGAACGAGCCGAACTTCCTTCCTTCGCCCGGGCGCTGAGTTCGGGGCCGTGAGGCCGATCGCGAGGATTGGCCAGGGCAAAAACACAAAAGAATCAATCGCGTTCTGTATAGACTCTTGATTAGTAGACCCCCCCATTTGGAGGCACGAACTTGCGGACTGTCGATGTCGACGCCTTCCCAGGTACCCCCCCCTTCCCAGGTACCCCAAAAGCATTTGGATTGTAAAACCTCTTCAAGAGTTTAGATTTCAAAGCGGTGTTTATGGTAGTCCAGCCAGGAGACGAAGTTGCTGCTCTGTTTTGGTGTTCACCGACTTCCACGGATGGCGTCTTGCGTTCTGCCTGGTTCTAAGTGACGACGGGAGCCGTCTTCAGAACCCTTCAGACTGACCTCCAAAGGCCCTGAAGTTGCAAAGACTCCAATTGTTGTTTAATTGGTTTAAGAGAACATCTATGCAGGAAACCATGGTTTTCACATGTGTTCATCCCTTAAACAATGTGTGTTCTCCTACATGTGTTTTCTTTTCTAGGCACTTGGAGCCCTACAGTTAGAAATCAATTGACCCTGCACTATCCCAAGATATCCCAAACACCACCGATGGAACTTGAATTGTTGGGCCTATAACTGGAACCCTTGAATACACAATGCAAATATGGCATTCCCATTTGTTGTGTCTGGGTATTCATCTCTGCACTACCATGTCTGGTCTGCGATTGGACGATGCCCAAGAAGGGCAACATCTTCCGGTATTGAAGAGCCACCAAAGAAGCGTCGAAAGGAATAGGTAGCCCACAAACCGAATTGAACATCAAATCCCCCTCCCAAAACATGATGCCTCACATGAAATCATTTACCTGCATGATAGGAACTGAGTAGTGAGATATCTTGGGATGCTTGATACCTGCACACTCCTCACATAACAATCAACAACAAATTCTACCAATCAGGGCCCCCCAAAAAAGGAATCACCCAGGTCTTCCAACCAACCAAGCTAACTTAGCCGCTTTGACCCGTCGACGCCGCGCTTGGCACGGGCCGCGCCGTGTGGATTTCGGAGGCGTAGCAGTTGAACGATGGCTTCTCCCGTGCGTAGGCCCACAGGCACGTCCTGCGCGGTGGCGTGAAAGCGGAAGAATGATGGGAGGTCACCGAAGTACCTAAGAATTTGATCTTGTTTGATTATTGATGGTGGCCAAACGCCACCCAATTCAAGAGAAAAACTAGCTATATAATTAAGGCCTATCCATACATGATACTATACAACCGTCAGCCTCACAGATCCAATTGGCACATTAGTTGCACATGTGCTACCTTTGCTTTGTGTCCACATCTTGGTCCAACGTCGGCCTCTGCATCAATTTCTCGAAGCTCCAGGATACTGTAGGCGTGGTAGCCCACCAAACCCACCTGTCAAGTGTGCACAGTTCTACCACTCCCTAATAACTATAACCCTCCCAGAGGGAAGAAAGACTCCCCTTAACCACATGGCACCTTCGTGTGCTGTTCCGCTACAAACCTCCATGCAAGTGGCAGCCTCATGAAACATGCCGGAATTTTCTGTCAATTGTCTAGACTATAAGCTTTGGATTTTGTGTTCGCCAAACACGCAAGCACTGGTCAATACCAGTGGTATTGACCTTCTGGAAGGTTATACAACCTTGACCATCATGGTTTGGTGAGCAAAAAAGGTCAACATAGGTCAACGTACATCGTACGTCCCTCGATGGTCGCTGCATGCTCTCCTAGAGAACACTCTAAGAATATGTCAACAAGCAAGACAAAACACCCAACTATAAGGAAACAATTCCCAGCAACCAAACCTCTATCTCAATCAAGCATCTTCTCTGATTATCTACACCGCTACACTACCTGGAATCATCATGATTACGTGGATGGCATTGTGGCGCCTTTTTCTGGCCCCTATGAGTGTTCCGAAGATGGACACGGCGGTGCCATCCCCGAAACGATGATTCCAGGGAGTGAAACCATCATCTAACCACCAACTCTCGGGCCCCCCGTTCAGTCGACTCTCGGCCCCCTGCCTCTTCCAACTCAGGATGCCCTGCTGTGCCACAGCCCATGGGGAGTTGCGCTAAATGGTAGGTCACCTCAAAGAAAGCAAACAGAAGAAGAAGAAGAATCACCTCATATCACCTCATATCACCTCTCTGTTCATCAACATGTGTCTTCAACAAGGCAAGAAATCAACCTTGGCGAAAGAAACCTGCCTTAGATTGACAACCCCCAACATTGTGAACAAAGACAACTACAGTAACTAAACATAAAGAGTCTGTTATGCACTAGCGCACTGCGATCTGTGAGATCTTTGACATGAGAGGGCTCTGCAAGCACATTAAAGAACACAAACTCTTACCTGATGGATCCTTCGGCCAAACCAGTTTTGAATCCAAATGTGAAAGTCACATGCTTCGATACATGTCGAAGATCATTTCACCTACAATATCACATG